GAGGGCCCTAGACTTCAGGATGGGGCAGCTTGAGGCTCTCGCCTCGTGCTTGTCAGGAAGGCCCTGGGAGCAGCAGTTGGCACATTTGGAGGTGCGCTGGTCAGCAATGGATGGGCAGGTTCGGCCTTCATGGCCGTCTTCACCGCAGTGGAAGCACTTAGGAGCTCTGGTGCATTGGGCAGAGTTGTGGCCGAAGCCACAACAGCGGAAGCAGACGCGGGCGCGGATGGACTCCTCGAAGTTGAGGATTACTCCATCCACCACGATCCTCCCGCGAACGCCCACGGCTCTAAAGGTCTTGAGGTCCACCTCGATGAAGGCGGTGCAGGTCCCGTTTCTGGGTGCAGAACGGTGCGCCACGCGCACCACCTTGTCCCCAGGAAGTTTTCTAACAGCAGCGGTTTCCAGGAAGGTCTCTTCAATTGTGGATTTGGATGTCTCCTCATCCACTTTGAAGAGGCAGATCCGTGGCAGGATCTCCTTCTGCTGGCGGACCTTCATTCCATTCAACTTGCTGGCCAGGGAGGTTGTAACCTCAGGGATGGTGTCAGGATTGCTGGAATGGAGGACCAGCTTCCCCTTGGTGCGCAGGGAGGCCCAAACGCCTTGGGGGAGAGTGTGAGCAGCGCGGACTGTTTTCAGCATCTCCCTTGGGTCAGCCTGTGGGTCATCTGAGATGACCACTGTGTGGGCCGCCGATTTTTCTCCATGAAGGATCACTTGGGCGGCCGCAGGCTTGGAGACGTGGGAAGGCACAGGTTTTGAAGGACCATTCAGGTTTGTCCTCTTTGCAGGCGGGTTGGGAGCTTCAGACTGCTTCCTTTTGGTTGGAGCAGGAGCAGGCAGGGTGGAGGCAGGCTTCTTGGCAGGGAGAGCAGCAGGAGCAGGAGTGGCGGGCTTGATTGGGTCAGTCTGGGAGCTGGTTTCATTGCAGGAAGGAGCAGGGCAGGTTTGAGTGCCGCGGCAAGCAGTCTTGGGCTTGTTGGCCTCCTCAATTTCGTCCAACTCTGCGAAGGACTCGAGGGTGTCAGTGAGGTTCTCTACATTGTTAGCGAGGGCCTTGATCATTTCCGTCCGCGAGGCGATGTAGCGGATCAGGTCCTCATGCAGGGATTTCAGGGCAGGATGGCCAATGGAGCTCAGGATGCTGCAGTTGCGTGAGATCACCATCTCATCTTCCCTCTCCAGGTCGGCGACGTTCACGATGCGGGTTGTAGGCTTGTAGGCCTTCTTTTTCTTCTTGGCAGGATTCATGTCGACCGACAGACAGACGAAATTGACTTTTATATATTGACCAACGGGGAAGAACAACAACGAGTTTTTATAGGGGAAGCCTGACCTCTGGCGGTCGATTTAACAATATTTGAATCTATGATATATATTTTTAAATAAAATAATTCTTTAATATAACCTAATTTTAAATAAAATATTTCAGTATAACATATATATAGTGTAAAAACTATATAACAAAATTATAACAGTGATTCCAAATTTAAAACTAAAGGAGCAAACTGATACGAATGATAACTCATATCAAGTAGATTAAAACAAAACTGGACTATAAAATTAAACAACTATTTATTATATATATATATATATATATATTAATAAAATGGAAATTTCATAAGTGGACATCACTAAAAACTTTCGTTACAATGCATCAATTTCAACCAAATTTTCAACATTTATGTAAAACGAGATGGAGCAGGTTTTGCTTAACATCAAAATATATTTCCTAACATTAACATGCGTAACTTCGCTGTTATCGATTAAATACAAAAAAATCAACAGAGTTAATTTTATTTATATATAAATACAAAATTAAATTTCAACAGAGTCAATTTTTTTACATACTAGCTAATAATCTCAATCTAAAAAATATTCAAAACAAGCAATTTTAAGATAACACCATATGTAAAACAGTCGGCCAAGAAAACAACAACGATATTACATCTTTCTAACATATTCACACACAATCTTGATTAATAATTAAAACTAATCTTTAACATTGTTTATTATACTTCACCTTTTATTTCTACATTTGTTTTTAAATACCCAATTGTTTTATCATGTTTCTAATTTCGCCTAACAAATATACAAATTTATAGTGACCAACATATGCAAATTTTATCTTTGTTTTTATTTAACTTGATATCGTAAACATAACATCCATTGTAAGCATTTTTCTGTTCACCTTCCGTGGTTTCTCTTTTCTCTGATAGTTTTTAGGTGTAGTATATTTTCTTATTACTAGACTACAAACATTCCCTCGAGAAAAACCTGGGCGAAGCCGGGTACATCCGCTAGTATAGAATATATTTGAACATTTTAATTCATTATTAGATAGAGTTTTATCATTTTTTTCCATAACTACATCCAACTGCTCAATAAGTCTATGATTTCTCTATCCATTTCCAGAGTTAATATAATTCTAATTTTTATGAGAATTACATTCTCTGATCTATATAAAATATACATTATGTTATTATATAAGTCTTAATCAAACTGTGATTAAAATTAATTTAAATAATATTTGTAATTCAAATATTGTAACGTAGAAAATCAGGAAAGACAAATTTTAGGATGACACAGAAGTTTATTTAAGATACAAAGCAAGATCAACTTTTATAAGATACAAGTTAAGCAATGAGAGAAATTTCCAGAGTAGCAAAATTGATAAAGCACAATTTGGATTATAGATTATAATACAATAAAATTGTCACCATCATCAGACAAAAGAATAAAATCAATTTATTATTTTGTCTGATGATGGTGACAATGTTATTACCGAAATGTCACACACTAATAAATTATTTGGATTAGGTCTTATTTTCTTGTAGAGTAGCAAAACATAAATAATATATAAATATATCAAAAAATTAATATGATCTATATATAAAATATAAAAAATACATTTCTACAATATAAACAACAACAAAATGCTTTATTAAGATCTTGCGTCGTCTGTGGATACAGCGACCTGTCGCTGGTTCATCGGTACTGGTCCTGCCGCTACATCAGGCCTCTCATCTGGGAGATATTCATCTTCATCCAGTGGCCCTCTGACCTGCAGGGCTG